ATCCAAGTGCCATGCCCTGTGTTACTTTTGTAATTATAGGAAATGGAAAGTTGGCATGGTATTCTTCAGGACAGTCCCTTTTGCTATAAAATTATTATATATTACTATCTATGTTATTTTGATTCACAAACAGTCATAGTATATAAGCGAGATAAAGAGAGGTTCAGTAAGACACATACATTAAAATTGTCTTTGTGTATGAAGTGGTCCTTTGGGTGAAGTCTGCAGATTTCCCTTTCCTGTGTGCCCACCTGGGAGAAGGCAAAGCAGACCAAGCTCGTGCTTGGGAGCGGGGGTTTGATTAAACAAGCGGTGTCACGGTTTGGTGAGCGCTCGGCACAGGAGATATGTGCTGGGTGACCTCACCAGCTGGTGGCGTGCAAAGACCCTGGCTCTGCTTGTCCCCTGGAGAGGAACCCCACACCTCGAAATCATCATCAACAGGACTTGCATTAGTCAAAAAGCTACTGTAAAATATTTGCAAAGCTGCCCTTTGTATCACAGCCAAAATTTCTTATTTAATAGAAAGCTGAAATGTTAACACCGACTTATTACAGAGCCCCAAATATCCGTGTTGCCCCTTTCTCTGTCACTGGAGCTTGTACCCAGGGCCTTGCTCATGCTACGTGGCACTTTACCACTCGACTGCGCACAGACTCTGAGCATCGAATATTCCTGAGATGATATGTGTGAACAAAGTGATACTTGTGATTTTATGGAGAAACTTTCCCCCATCTATAGAAAATGCATTGCTGTCTACTAAATGAGCATAAATACACATTTGCAAGTGAATTCTGGTGTTTCTTTTTAAGCAGTAGTGACAGAGTCAGTTTTTCTCGGTAAGTGGGCATTGGAAGAAAGGAAATGTTGCCAGTGGTCTCCACTCCCACACTCGTACCTAGACTCTGCCTCATTGTGGGACAACTTGGAGAGCTACAATCTCCTGATGATCCAGGGAACACTTCCTACCCCATACTGTCTTGTCCCCAAAGCTGTTCTGATCTGCTGGCCACAGCCTGAGGAGACGTTTTGTGCTAGCCAAACTATGGATAGTGGTAAATGTCACATCTCCTCCCCATGACTTCTAGGTAGTTTGGGAGCAGTACTGCAGAGTCGCTGGAAATCTGCTTGTCTGTTAGGTCTCTCACATGATTTTAGGTCCTGGGTGACTCAGTTGGGATATCTGGAATATCTGGTCCTATGGAGGGGGAAAAACAGCAGGACAGGTGTTAAGCCAGTGCCTTAATCAGGGAGGGATATGGGTAAAAGTGCATATGTACGGGTTGGCTTTGCTTTTCTTACCTGCTTTTCGTAACTCTTATTACTGCCCTCCTTTCTTGTTTGCAAACATTTGGCCAAATAATGGTTGGAGTATAAGGATTGAGGGTGTTACTACTTTGCCTGTATTGTAGTCTTTATGTATTACCAAGGCATTTTATATTTTCACCATATTATTTTCCATTGTTTTATTTTTTCTTTACAACATTTCTATGAAAGGCAACACCATGTAGGTGAGAAAGATGAGGTAGCAGATGTGTCTTACTGCAGGTTTTCCAGCTGGTGTGTCTCACAATCAGGCCTAGTGTTGCTTATCCCAGTGTTGATGGCAAGGTTGAGAATGGTAAATGCTGTGGGGGTTTGACTATGTGGAGGGGGGAAATGTTCTGTGGATTTCTCTAATTTTGAAATTTTTTTCAGTGCTAAGGTCACTGTAGCAGATATATAGGCCTAAGTGTATTACTGATATTATATACCACGTGGGTATTTTTTAAATGTCAGAAAACAATTTACACTGCCGTAAATAGAAGAAGGCTTAAAGATAAAATGATGAAATAGTTGGAAATGTGAACTACCAACCACAATTGACATGGACTCTTTCCTGAAACAATGAATGACGTTGTTACTTAGTAGCTTGACTGGTGTTATGATGCAGTAATGTTCTGCAGTGGTCTGCTTTCTATGGAAGAATGTGTGTCACTGGTGAATATGATTGCGTTCTCCTCTTGCTGTGTTTGAAGAGCTCTTAGCTTTCTCATTGTGTCAGTGCGTGTTGTGCGGGCTGTGTCTCCGCCTGTCCCCGGTGCAGTGGCTGAGATCTTTAGGGTTGATGGCAGTGGTAGTGGTGATGGGGACATGGAACGCTTCCTCCCGACTCTCCACAGACGTGGTAAGCAGCTGCCCCTCGGTCCTTTCCTAGTGCGTTTTTATTTTAATGTCTCTTTGCAGAGGCAGCAGTACTAACCCCTACTGACGCCTAGAATGTGTTGGTCCTTTACATATTTTATCTCGCTAACCATCTCTGCAACTTGGTAAAGTGCCATTTGCTCCACATTTGTCACCCGCTAGAAAGTGGCGGAGTCTGAGTCACTTCCCTGTCTGTCCTAAGCCGAGGCTCTGGTCTCTCTGGGCCTCTAATGCAGCTCCTTGAGTCTGACCAGACAGGAATTGTGCTTGCATGGCGTTTGTAAAAGTAGTTGTTGAAAAATATTTTATATAGCTTTGAGTATCGAAAAGGAGATAAATGGAACATTTATATTTTCATGTTAAATGCACCATACTTATTTACTGTACAAAAAGAACCGTGAGTTTCTATGTGTAGCATTTACTCAAAACAAATGGAAAAAGAAATGAGGAATAAAATAGATGGGGAGATTTCAATTGCCAATTGGTAGGGGGAATATTGAAAAGAAGATGGCTTCTGAAATGGATTCACAAATGTGATTCTGCTTTTTGCTTTGCTTATTTTTTCATATGTGAAGAGAATATTTAGAATACTTGATGGCTGAAAGAGAGCACTTTTACTTCTCAGAGGTTCCTTTCCCAATGCCAGGTTGCTAATTGGAGTGTCAGAACTCACGTTCCCACCCCTGCATTCCTAACTTCCATCAGTGCCTCATTGGTTTCTCTCTCTTTAATTACTACCTAGAGAGTTTTTCTTTTTCTTTTCTTTTTTTGGTCTCAGTAATACAAAATAAAAACTAAATGTACTTGTTAGGAAAATAGAAGCTTCTTTAGATCTTAGCATCTTTTTAGTTATAGGATTGGACTGTTTGGGATCAAATTGATAGTAAGAGAATGTGAAAGTAGGCCTTGAATTGATGCACATTGGAGGCCAGGAATTTATTCAGCTAGATTGACTAAAATCATGGGGAAACTACTGTTTCATTAAAGTAAGCGTCAGTCTGGCTCAAATTCTATTGAGGTCAGTGGGGGTCGTGGGAGACCTTCCTCCTGTATTCTCTGAAGAATGTTCTTTTTCACAGAGAAGAAAAAGAAAAACAAGTTTTCTTCATTCATCTCCAAGTACTTCTGCAGCATGTGTGTACCAAGTTGGTGCCAGTGTAGAGAGAGGTCATAAAAACATGAGTATATGTGGCAACCATTTGTGTCTGCCTTTCTTTCTAAAACAAATGAGAATGTACTCTGTGAATGGAATGGCTCTTTTCAAAAGTTGCTCTTGGCTTTTTCTGTGGTTTGTAAATTACTGATTAACATTTTCCTGATACTTGTTGGAACTTGTCCCTCAGCCAGCCTAGGAGTGGCTTCCTGGATCCTGGTGACTGTGGCAGCCTCTGACCATGCACATGGCGTGTTCGAGTTTAGCCCAGAGTCGCTCCTTGTGAGTGGAACTGAACCAGAAGATGGGCACAGCACTGTGTTGCTAAATGTGAGTACTTTTTCCCTGTGTTCCTACTCTGTGTTCTTTAAAATAAATGTTTAATTGTATTATGAAGATTTGTTTTCTGGGTTTTTTTTCCTGTAGGTGGAAAGGAATGAGCCCATTGGCACAGACATTACAAATTGATAATTGAATAGTGATTTGGCATTTGTCTGAGTTTAATTGTGCATATAAATTCATTTTATTATTCTGAAGTCTAGATTTCTGACCCTTTAAGGAGAAATACAATGAAGCTGTACTATGAGTATTTATGTTATGTAGATTTTTCTTTGAGATCAGACAGACTGTGGAAACAGACATCTCTAAAATATCAATGTCTAAGCACAACAGAAATTTGTTTTTCACTCATGGTATTCATCCAGCCTAACTGATCACTGGTCATCTGTTCACTTTAGAGACCAGGAATTACGGAGCCTGCTGCTCAGCAGGAGTTTCTATCTTAACTTCTTTCCTTCTTCTTCCTTTTGTTCTCCCTTCTTCTTTTTGTGGCACTGAGGATTGAGCCTAGGGCCTCCTGTAAGCTCAGCAAGTACTGTTCCCTCAGCTGCATCCCTAGTCCCTTTCTGCCTTATTTTGAGACAGGGTCTTGCTAAGTTGCCCGGTGCTCCCAGCTTATCTGATTTTGAGACCAAGTCTCACTGAATTGCCCAGTAGCTGCTGGAACTACAGGTGTACTCCTCCGTACCTGTTTCCCCCAGTTCTTTCTGAACCTGATTTTCATTCTTCATACTTGGATTTTCATGGTCACAGCAAGTCGCATGGCCATGCCTAATGTGAGAGGGTGAAGTACAGTCCTGTTCTGCTATTTCCCAGAAGGGAAAAGAATTCCAAAACATTTGTGAACAGAAGTGTTAAGAATAACTCTATATGGTTGTGTGTGTGGTTGTGTGTCTCTCTGTGTGTGCGCATGTGTGCATGTGTGTGTCTGTGTGTTCATTCTGCTTGGTTCCAGCAGAAATTCATAAGGATTCTATTGTTTAGTGACCCAGGCAAGATAGAAGTTTTCTTAGTGCTTTTATACAGATAATGAAGAAAATCTCCCAGACATGTTCTTCTGTATTACTAGGGCAGATCTTCAATAAACTGTTGTGGAACTAATTGACCAACTTTAGAAAGAATAGCTACTTAGAAAAGAGAACAAAGAATTAGGGAGAAAGATCACATTTTAATAAAATTATTATCTATAATTTTATTTTGAACTAGCAATCATTTGAAGTACAAATAAAAATTATTTTTGAGGATAAGAAATTGGGAGTTATTTTTGAATATGTCTAAGCTGTTCACTCTTCTTAATGTATTAAAAAAAATTTCTTCCTTTTTAAATGTGTTTTGTTATACCTTGGGCCAAATATGGAGTTGTTTTTGGATGGTTGGTTGTATTATATCAAGGATAAAAGGAAATATTATATATATGTTTCAAAAATGAGTTTTATGGCTAATGTCAGAAAAGTGCAACATATCTATTCCTTACAATCAAGTAAATACCATTTTTGTAGTAAATGCAAATTTTTTATAAATGTGCGTAAGAGTAATAAATTGTTAGTCACATTTGATTCATTTTTAATGTATATTATAATTACTTATAAGGTACACCTATAATTTAGAAACTAAAATTTTTCATCAATATATGTTTAACCACTCTCCATTTATACAATCCCCGAGGGTCTCAGGGGTGGGTGGTATATTTCCCCTGCCTTCAGTAATCTTACAATCTTGAGAACTGATATAGTAAAATTAAGTTTACAACTCTGCTATCATTACGTGCTCACAGCCTGTGAGTCAGTGGGTTCAACCTCTTTGAAACAGTTTACTCTTGGCTATTTTGTAGGTGGTGAGGAGTCACGGAGCTCTGTCCTGGGTGACTTTGCATTGGAGCACAGCCTCAGATCCTGATGGCGATCTTGCTTTCACCTCCGGCAATGTCACCTTTGAGGTCGGCCAGACACGCGCCCACATCATGTTGGAAATCCTGCCGGACGAAAACCCGGAGCTAGATAAGGCGTTCTCGGTGTTGATCCTCAGTGTCTCGAGCGGTTCCTTGGGAGTTCACACCAATGCCACGTTAATAGTTTTGGCCAGTGATGATCCTTATGGGGTATTCATTTTTTCTGAGGAAAATGGACCTATTAACAGTTGAGGAAGCGACCCAGAATGTTACATTATCAATAGTCAGGTTGAGAGGCCTCCTGGGGAAAGTCAGAGTCTCCTATGCAACAGCAGATAATATGGAAAAACCACCTTATTTTCCACCTAATTTAGCCAGAGCAACTCAAGGAAGAGACTATGTATCAGCTTCTGGATTTGCTCTTTTCGTGGCTAATCAGAGTGAAGCAACAATAACTATCTCAGTTTTGGATGATGATGAACCAGAAAGGTTGGAGTCTGTGTTTATTGAGCTGCTCAGTCCAGTTTTAGTGGAGAAAGTACAGAATCGCCCAAGTAAGTATCCATTAATGTGTTATTATGAGAAATAAGAATCTTAAAACATCAAATGTAGACTTCAGTAAAAGAAAAACTTCTATAAAAATACTAAGGTATAACTGAAAGCATCATCTCACACAAGCTTATCTGTAAGACAGTGGGAAATGAACATATTTTCTCCTTCAAAATCATATTTTTAATGTCAGTTATGTTCTCAGAGTAAATTTCAGAAGCTTCTGTGGAATCCATGTGTAACTGATCCTCTAGCACTATTGTACTATATGCTATAGTTTTAGATATTCTGGAACCAATCTACAGAGTCCAGGGGTATTGCTAGATTTATTTCTGAAGATTCCCTAACCACCCAGTGTTCTTTGTACAGTGTTGGTAACAAATGTGCATCCATGCACAATTGAATATTATTCAGCTTTAGCAAAGAATGAAATCCTGTTATTTGTGGCAAAATGGATGGAACTAGAGGACATTACTGTAAGTGATTTAAGCCAGGCACAGAAAGATAAATATTGCATGTTATTATGCGTATGTGGAAGCTAAAATGGTTGCTCTTAAGGAAGAGAATAGAACAATGATTATTAAAGAGTAGGAAAGACAGGAAGAAGGACAGGATCCTTGGTTACAAATACTATTAGATAGGAGGAACAAGTTCTAATGTTCATAGTATGTTGACTGTAGTTTGTAGCTGGTCTTTGAGCTCAAGGAACTAAATTACTTTTCTACTCAGTTTTGTAAATGGAATGCTTTTTTATTTTAATTGGCATGGTGGTGAACTAATTAGAAGATCATAATTCTGTAGCTTCATTATTATCTATTGCAACATTATGTAAATTGACAATTAATTATACTTGAATGATTTTCCTCTTTGATAAATTTCCAACTTATGAAACTATTCCTGCAGGGTAACTGTTTCTTTGCTGCAATTTTAAAATAAAATTATCCATAGACTATAAGCTTCAGGAAAGCAGAGACTTGTGATTTATTTTTGTATCTCCAGTGCCTAGATTAATGCTAGTACATATATGTTTTCTTTTTTCTTTTTTTCTTTTCCTTTCTTTTTTTTTTTTAGTACCGGGGATCAAACTCAGGACCTTGTGCTTGCCAGGCAGGCACTACGCCACTGAGCTAAATCCCCAGCTGTATGAATTTGAATCTTTTAAAATATAAAGAGCAGAGAGGAACATCAAATGAGGATCTCATTTGGCTGATGGAATCTTACTGAGGCCTCTTGATTTTCAGGCAGTTCTTAGAATCCTGATATATTAGCTTTTTTTCTACCTTTCAGTTCCAAACTCACCTCGCCTTGGCGTTCAGGTAGAAACTGTAGCCCATCTAACTATCCTGGCCAATGATGATCCCTTTGGAACTCTTCAGCTCTCGACACCAGTTGTTCGAATGGCAGAAAATCATGTCGGACCCATCATCAATGTGACTAGAACAGGAGGAGCCTTTGCAGATGTTTCTGTGAAGTTTAAAGCAGTACCAATAACTGTGATTGCTGGTAAGAAGAGACATCTAAGAAGAGTGAACTCTTAGAAGGACTCATATCCTTGATTAACAAAGCTACCCAAAGATATAATTGCAAAGCTCAGCTAGAAAGCAGTATTATTCTTGCATCTTTTTAGACACAAATTTAGAGCTTTAATATATCTCTGACCTCAGTTTGTGAAAACTGATAGCAAATTGCGCATACATTCAAAAGCTATGGTTATCAAAATACGCACAACCTAATGAAAAGTAAGCTACAGAAGTCCTTGGCTTTCTTTCTCTTTGTGTATGTTTTCACTTTTTGAAAAGAATTCATATGTAAATGGATACTGAAGACCACAGAAAAAAACAAGCAGCTGTTGCTTTTGGTCCTTCAACCAGCCCTGTCTGTGACCCCTTTATCCTGCTTGTTTATTGATGAGGAATACCAAAGAGGCAGTGGCTAGCATTAACCACTTTAAGTAGGCAAAATGATTTAGTTGTCAAATGCAGGCATTCTCTGCAGTCAAGTTCCAGCATTTAGAGAGATTTGTCTAAGAGCAATTAGATTAGAATCTTTCCAGGGTTCACTCAAGGAAATGAGTGCAAATGAATGACATATTGTGCCTGATTTGTAGAAGGAAATCATGTGGACATGATCCTTGCTTGAGAAGATACTAAATCAGGTGCCCCCAATACTGCGTGGTATGCATGCATATTTTTAGGTGGGCAGCTCCTCAGAGTGCCCGGGGGCCTCCAGGCGGACTCACAGTGGGACAGGTGGTGGGTGTGATGAGTCTGTGTCCTGAGACCTTAGCTTGGAGGTTCCAGTGGGATGTGCTCTACCCACTGTGGGATCAGAAACAAAGCTCAAAGCAACCTGCATGATACTCAGCAGTAGCTTTGAATGCAACTTCACAGGAAAGTCTGTCATTTTGGGCCATACCATTAACAATGGTAATGTGCCACATCTGTGCAAGAAAATAATTTATCTCCTCATGAGACTAGAATTCCAGTTCTGAGGGCCGGGGATTTAGCTCAGTGGTTCTGCCGCCTGCCTAGAATTCCAGTTCTGTTCTTTGTTCTACAAAAAAGTAATATACATCTCTTTTTCTGTAGATAGGAGACATTTTATGGTAATGAATAACTCTGTCTCTCTAATACACACACAAACACACATGCACACAAATGCACACCCAACTATGTACACATATTTCTGAAAGTGAAGGAATGTACATGAACAGCCTTAGGAAGTCCTTTCTGTTGTTTGGTGATATTGAAAAAGAAACATATTCTTGTTTAGAAAAATGTAGTTAATATCTTCAAACAGTCTGCTCAGGTACATCCATAAATTTTGTTTTTGTTTCCCCAGTATGGAATGTTTGTCCTATTTTGGAGTAAGCCTTTTGTCTTT